CCTTAACCCTGTGAACGATTTATTAGTTCCTAAAACTTGTTGGCGACTATTTTGCTCTAGCTTCCTTCCCTTTGGACGCCACCATGCTTAAGTATATGATCACATTGGGGTTCAAGTTTGGGGTAATGCTTGAAATATTCCATACAGTAATATTCATGAGGGACAAGCTATTTTAGCATCTGTCACTAGTAGAAAAAAAGCAAAAAGGCACCGCTCAATGGCCACCGGTTTTAAAAAAACCGGTGGGGAAAAAAAGGAAAAATGGGCGGGATTGTGGGGATATATTATTGCCACCGGTTCAAACCAAACCGGTGGGGAAAATGTTATTCCCACCGGTTCAAACCGGTGGGTTTGTGATTAAAAAAAAAACCGCCCCCTTATAAACCCTAACCCTACCTCACTTACTCCACTCTTTCTCAGCCGTCCTCTTTCTCCCTTCCCTCCTTCTCTTTCTCTCTCCTCTCTCCCCTCTCCTCCTTCTCTTCCTCATCTCCTTCTCTCTCTTCCTTTTCGACTCCTTCTCATCTCAAAAAACCAGAAATTCAAGAGCAACATCGACTATTCTGTCTCCTTCTCTTTCTCATCTCCTTTTCTTTCATTTCGAGGACATGCATGAGCAAGAGCAACACTGACTATTCCCAAATTCAATATAATTTTGAGGGTTTTTGTTGAAATTCGAGGTAATCTCTCTTATTTCTTATTATTATTTTGTTTTTTGTTATTTTTGGTGGAATTCGAGGGATGTGGTGGTTTTTGATGGTGGTTGTGTTTATGACAGTTTAAGGTGGGTGGGTTTTTGTTATCTTTGTCCAAATTCGAAATGGATTTTTCTGGGTTTATGAGTTTAATTGATTTCGAAATTTTTCTGGGTTTAATTAATTTTCGAAAATTTTTTGTGTTTAATTGATTTCGAAATTTTTCCGGGCTTTTTTGGGTTTCGTAAATCTGGTTTTTCTGGGTTTTTCGAAATTTTACTGGGTTTTTCAGGGTTTCGTAAATCTGGTTTTTTTCACATTTGGTTGTGAGTTTTATTAATTTCTGGGTTTTTTAAATCAAATTTTCTGAGTTTTAAAATCGATTTTAATTCGATTTCTATTCGATTTTTATTCGATCTTCTTATGGGTTTAATTCGATTTTAATTATGGGTACATGCTTTTTCTGGGTTTTTTTAATGATTTTAATGAATTTATGGGTACATGCTCGATTTATAGATACATGCATAGTGTTCTGAGTTTTTTCTTTTTTCGCAGCTTATGTATATTAGTCGATTTATTTTTTTGTTTTGATTGATGCAGGTATATTGATTTAGATCTTAAATCGAAGAATCATGATGCAGGAATATTGTTTTTGATGTTGTATGGGGTTTTTTTTTTATTTTGATGCTGTAATTTTTTTTTTATTTGTATTGTAATTTTTTTTATATGTTGTAATTGATCAATTTTATTGATTTATATTGTAAATAAAATTTCGTTATATAGATTGATATTGTTTTGATTTATATTTTGATGTTTGTAATTTTTTTTGACTGAATTGTTCTGTTATATTTCTTTTTGAAAAAGACAAAAAAAAATTATGTATATATGTTATTGCCACCGGTTAACCGGTGGAAAAAATAATTAATACCCGAAAACAAAAAAAGCGCGAAACGATAATTGCCACCGGTTAACCGGTGGCAATACCCCTTTTTACCACCGGTTTTGAACCGGTGGCCTTGCTTCGGAGTATTGCCACCTCCCAAATGACCACCGGTTCAAAACCGGTAGCATTGGGGGGTTTTGAACCGGTGGCCAATTCATATTTTCGCCTAGTGTGTCATGGAGAAAATTGAATTAGGTAGAAATCCAATGCTTTTGATTGTTGGAGAAAGCATGCTTACTTTGGATGAATTAAAAAAGGATCCAAAAGAACCTCTTCGAGGTTCTCCAATATAATAACAGATAGAAAATTAATACTTTTAATTACAGAAATAGAAAATATTTAACTTTGTATAGTAATCATAAATATTTGCATTGAATTATTTTAGATGTGGCTAATGGAGAGGCTTGAATTAATTAGCCCTCCTGACAATGTTGATACCTATGCACCAAATTATTTTGTAAGACGGAAGAAACACTTTTCCATAAAGATGGGCCGCTGTGAGTAGAGTTGGATCTTTGAAACTTGCGACTTTGCCATCAAGTGAATCGCTCCTTGGTGGAAAATTGAGAAGATGGTTGTCAATCGTCAACCCTTTTGCCGTCTACCTAGATTGTCAAAGTTGATTTTTTATTACTCTTCCAGAAGACAATATGGCCTTGCTCTAACTGCTCAATCTAGTGATCTTAGTTGTCCCTATGAATTTCTCGTTTCCCAGGATGTAGAGAGATTTGATGATTATTGGTGTGCTGGACCTTTATGGGAAGTTGTTACCCAAAAGGTCCCATCTTTCTTGTCTAGGGATATGAAGCAATGGCTACTTGGTAGATCTCAAAAGGACAAGAACAAAGCTCGGAAGCTGAGTAAGGCTAATGTGAAAGACCGCCTAAGGGATAAGAAAATTCCTCCTAAGGAGCGCTTAGGTGAAAGAGTTGAATTCAAAACTACATTTATGCATAAGAAGAAAAGTTCTACTAAGGGCAAAGAGAAGAGAAAATCTTACTCTACAGAAAAGAAAGTGTGGGTTAAAAATAAGCACGGTGAAATGGCTATTGGAGAAACCATCAACACCAAGATGAGTATAGATCTTCGAAAGGATGCTTACTAGAAAAAGTGATGGATGATGAAGAGGAAGCGGACAAGAATTGGAAAAGAGGTAGAAAAGAGAAGATAGATTAGAGAATTGCTTTACTTTTAACTTAATTAGACAGTTTTAATTTTAAGTCAATTCTATCTTTAAACTTCATTTAAAATTCCATCAATAATGTAATTTTTACTTTATTTCATTAACACAATTTTCATCTTTTTTAATTAAACTAACTTTTACATTAAAAATTTTATTAAAGCAATGAAATTGTCTTGAATTTTTCCGAGAATTATTCGAGGACAAAAGTCGAAAATTTCCAAAAAAAACACCGAAATTTATCCAGATCGACGCATAACGTCTGGCGCTGCGAATTTGAACTTGTCGCCGTATGACATTATTGTCGCGATGAACTGGTTCTTGTTGATGTGAAATAGCTTTGGCGTGTCGCGCTAGAATTGATTATTGGGCGCCGGCTACTTTGTTGATGACGAATTGATTTTTTTGTGAAGATTAAAGTGGCCTCACCCTTTAGGGGGTTGCCTACGTATCCTTTCCTAAGGAATTAGGCCAAACGTAGATCCCTTGAGTATCCTACTCAAGTAATTATGGGTAGTAATTCTTAAGTTGGTCAAGATTTGTCATATTTGAAAATTCATTGCCATCTATATCAGTTAGTTTTGTGGCACCTCCTGATAGGATAGTTTTGATAATGTATGGTCTGGACTATCTAGGACTAAATTTGCCTCTTGGGTCTAGAACACTTTTCCTTAATGCTTTTAACAACAAGTCTCCTACTTTAATGTTTGTTGTCTTAACCTTCTTGTTAAAGTGTTTAGCCATATGAGTTTGGTAGTATTGCGTATGATGTAGAGCTTCTAGTCGTTTTTCATTATGTAGAATGAGCTCCTCATATCTTGCTCTAGTCCATTCGACTTCGTCGAGTTTACTTTCCAACGCAATGCGCAGGGAAGGTATTTCTAGCTCTATAGGTTGTACGGCATCCATTCCATAGACTAAGGAGAATTACATATTTCTTGTTGTTGAGCGAATTGACGTACAGTAACCCAAAGAGTATAATGGAGTTTGTCATCCATTTTTGTAATTTTTTGTCATTTTCTCGATGATGGTCTTTAAATTCGTATTGGCTGCTTGTACTGCACCATTTTCTTGAGGCCTATATGTGGAATAGTGGTGATGTTGAATTCCGCACTTTTGTAGCAATTCTTCACATTCTGCTTGAAAGTGAGTTCCATTGTTACTTATTATTTCATGTGGGACTCCGTATCAACATAAAATATTTTTTTCGATATAGAGTGCTACATGCTTTGCAGTGAGGTTTGCGTATGATGCTGCTTTGACCCACTTTGTGGAGTAATCGATTGCTACTAGGATGTATTCATAACCTCCCGTCCTAGGAGGAGTAATCTTTCTAAAGATATCTATTCCCAAGGTTGAGAATGGCCATGGTGACGTATAGGTGTAAAGGAGTGATGGAGGCACGTGCTGCAAATTAGCATACTTTTGGCATTTCGGACATCTTTTTACGTAGTGATAACAAACCCTATTCATAGTAGTCCAATAATATCCTTTGCGCATTATCTTTTGGTCTATCATCTTGCCATAAACATGAGTTCCACATACTCCTTCAAGGACTATTCTCATGGCTCTTTGTGCTTCTTTTTTGCCTAAACACAAGAGAGCTCGACCTTTAGGTACCCTTTTGTCTAGCTCATTGTCTATGAGTACATATTTGGAAGCCAAATGTCTTAAGGATCGTTTTGTTCTTTTGTCAGCGTGGAGTGGATATTCTCCTTTGGTGACATAATTGAGGATGTCTGTAACAAAGTTCTTCTTCTTGGACTACCTCATCATCTTTAATGGTTTGAATTTAAGCAGCACTAGTAGAAAAATAGCTATCCGTAACGGGCAAAAATAGTCTATCCGTAACGGGCAACAGGCGTTACGTATGCTGCCGTTACGGATAGGCTATGTTATTCGTAACGGGCATTTTGACTGCCCGTTACAAATAACGGGTTATTCGTAACGGGCAGTTTGACCCCAAATTAAAAAAAAAATGCAGCAGGTGATACCTGCTAGTCTGCTATCCTGATAATCTGCTATGATGCCAAATTTTAATTACTATTATCAATAATAATAATAAATGTAAAATTGAATTAATTATAAAATCAAATATACAACTTTCAAAAATGTCCAAATTGACTTTACAACAACTCTCAACATGAGTCAAAAGCTACTAAATAAATAATACTCTGTAATACAACATGAAAATTTAAACAAGTTTTATATTCCATATAGTAGACTAAGAACTTGAAAAATCTTGTAGAGTTGTATACTGTCTTGATGAAGCTTAAATTTTGTACAGCCATCTTTTAGGAATTGGTCAATGAGGTAGCCATGGGCTCCATGGATCTCCACTCCATCAAAACCTGATAATGCAGTTTATTCACTACAAATAAATAACCTATTAAGACATAAAATTGAAGCATTCTCCTCATATAACAAACTAAATCAGCAACAACCCATATTACATTCAGAGCAAAACAATGAACACTTCTTCTACAGTCAGAAAATACAAAACACTTTGTGTGTAGGCAACCCCCGCTTGCCCTACAGCAATTTCAGAAAATCAAGCGAACCCTAGAACACAACCACCAGAGTATTTCATGTAATTGCCAACATCAAAACCTGCTTATGCCAGCCAGCCAAAGTAATATCTTTCTATAATTTGGGAGATTAGATAATAATACATGGAGATTAGAAAAGTGTGTCGAGTAATTAGTTGTTTGCTTAGTGCTTATTAGCATATTAGCCAAAGAATCATAAAAACTTTATTATATACAATTTTCGCTAATTTTCTATATGATCTTTGGTTGATTGCAGGATTAAATATCATTCATCATTCATTTGCCTCCCCTAATCCCCGGATTTGACATGAAGATTGGCATTGGTTTTTGTTGTCAGGATATTCAATGGATTAAACAAATCAGCCATGATGTACTTGAGATTCTAAGCTCTATCGCGCTATATCATTACTTTCTAAATTTGATATTTATAATGCTAATAAGCAACACAACACAGGTTACTGAATTCAAAAATTCATCTGCATTTAACTAAAATCAGATACTGAAGCAAGAAATGCAGTAACTGACAACGAACCATCCGAGTGTATATAACAACGAATAATGAATCAATGTATTTCCTTTGTCCGAAATCTAAAACAATCAGTAATTGATTTGCATATCTAGACAGTTAACATCAAACCTAGACCTAAGCATCAGGTGTTTACTTAAGAATCATTTCTGAACACATAATTTAATGTTTTTTTCTTCTTCTATAAAATTTAATACATTCATTAAAAATCTATTTGGCTTTTAAGCCTACCTAGAGCATGTTGTGTCCAAAAGAAAAATTCTTCAAACTGGAATAATGTTGCAGGTATTTCATTAGCTGATGAATTATTGTTATTTTTATCAGTGTATAACTTGTAGTCATGAAAATTAATAGTACATGCCCAATTGAGGTTATTAATCCCGGAAAATAAAAGATGGCACCAAATCTAACAAGAAATGTCCAAGGAAATAGACATGGTAAACATAAACTCACTCACTTAACTGAGGTTATGGGAGAAAAGGAGTATATAAAAGAACACATAATATGACCACACAAGACAAGATATGGCATAACATCGATCCATGAACAAGAGTATGGATATATACCTTTTCCTTTATCAAAGCAAAGTAGATATTCGGATCCAGCTTCAATTGCTTGGTTCCTGATCTAGTTCTTAGCCCAAAAGTTACATGACTAATGCTCTCACCATGGTCAGCAGTCACACTCTCAGTTTCTTCAAGGGAGAGCTTAGTCACCTAAAATGTAAGTAGGTGATTGTGTAAGAATCTCAAGAAACTTTCAACAATAAAATCCAGTTTATATTAACAAATTCCAAAAAAAAAGAAAGACACATATTGAGAGGTTGAAGAGCTTACAACAAGGAACACTAAATGACGCAATAAACTAGTAAAATCCATCCCAATAAAATCAACTTAAATATTATCTAATTTCTTACTCCATTATCTAAAATTAAATCTTCAAACTGACAGTTAAACAATTTTTCATATTCTATTCACATAAGACACCTTAACATATCTTATTGTTGAATTTCCTTGAAAAAATTCTGATTGTTCTTCAACTACTACATTTATTTTAATTATAAGAAAAAAAAAAGTAACATCATTATTAACACCAGCAGCAGCCAATGATGGCTTCAATCAGAATTTCTGAGAATAGATCAGAAAAAAAAAAATTAAAAAAAAAAGAAGAACAATATAATAACTAATAGAGAGTATAACAAAGCGCTGAATCATTATTCTTTGGATTTTGAGAATAGATCAGAGCCAAGAGACCTTAACCATGCTAGCATATAATGTTCTGTAAAATAAATTAGTTTAAAATTCAATAAAATCAGGTCAGATTCAACAAAATCTTATCAAATATAAACAAAATCTGCTCACCTAATTCTAAGGTATGAATGAAGACTCTTGTCTATAATTTAATCACGGGAGAAGACCTCCTCTTTTTATTCAGTTTTTGACTGCTTATTTAATTCCACAAACTTTACAAGAGAAATTTAAATTATAAAAAAAGGGAAATCGAAAAGAGCAAAAATCAAGGGGAAAAGCGAGAGAACTGAGCGCATCGGAGGAGGATGGTTCTACAGTTTATTCAGTCTTCCACTTTACTTTTCATCTTCCATTATTATCCCAACACATTATTCATCAAAATATTTCAAGAGACACCATGAAAACGCAGCAAAAAATCGAGATATAATAAAAATATGTAGCTGGCATACACCCGAAATCAAATAACAATCAATCACGAGTAAACAAATAAACCTCAAAGAATTAATTCCTTTTACACAGTTTGAATTAACAATACTAGCTAAAACCCCAGAAAAACATTCAATCCCTTCCACCCAAAAACATCAAAATTAGCTTCAACTCAGCAAATCTGGGTAAATCAAACTCCAAAAACCTCGAAAAATCACGAGTCATATCATAAGCCATAAAATTAAATAACAAAAATCATCAAAACAATACCAGTTTAAACCTTTAGCTTAGAAACAAAGATCTGTAGTATATAATTTACGGTGCTGCAGGTATTTGAAAAAGGCATAATTTTTAGGGAAAAAAAAATTAAATAAAAATCTAAAAGCAGAAAAACCCTTGTTTCGAAAACATAATTTCAGGATAAATTATCAAATTAGGCTCAAAAAAACACATAAATTTAGGCATGTTTGATTCAATTATCAAATTACGCTCGGGAAATCACATAATTTAAGGCATATTTGATACAATTATCAAATTCGGGTCATAATTTTGTTTTCTAACAACATAATCGCTGGTTATGATCTTTCATAATCTTACTAATTTGAACCATTCAGATATTCGAACCTTAAACAATTAAATTAAATCAAAGATAAACCCTAGATTGTGAAATTGATAAGATTAGAAAAAGAAACTTTAACTTGCTTCAGAAGCTGCTTCAATGGAGAACGTCAAGTGCGCTTCAATGGAACGCTTCAATTGCTTGGACTGACGAAATTCAATTTGATTTGATTTTATTTCTTTTGCAAAGAGGAAAGCTGGGTTGACTAAGCTAGATCTAGCGAGTTGGAGAATGGAAAAGCCTTAAAGAAAAATCAATAAACCCTCCGATCTAAAAATCATCAAAACCCCCAATTTCACCATTTTTTCTCTCTCCTCGTCCCATATCGCCATTTTTCTCGCCTTGTTTCATCACCAATTGAATGGGGAAGATTGATGGAGGAGAGAAGAGGAGAGAGAGTGACTGAGTGTGAAATGAGAGAAAAGAGGTGAATGACGGCTAGGCAAACCCTAATAAAAAGCCAAAGCCAAGTAATGGGCTCCTCTTATCATTTAGGCCACGCTCAAGCAGTTGTATCGGGCTCAATATGCCCGTTACTTGTAATATAATATCCGTAACGGGCAAATGATGACGGTTACATTTAAATAAGTATTCGTAACGGGCAATATTTTGCCCGTTACGAATAACTAAGTATTCGTAACGGACACTATTTTGCCCGTAACAAATAGCCTGTTACGAATGAGATTTTTTCCACTAGTGCAGGTTTAGGTCTCTTTTCAATCATCAAAGGAATTTGCTCAAAATCTGTGGGAATTCTAACCATTGAGGCTAGCCTTGCCAACACATTAGCAAATTGATTTTACTCTCTTGATAGATATGTGTATTCCACCTTTTCTAACTGATTAGTGAGAGTTTCCAGATATGTTTGGTAAGAAGCCAAGCTTTCGCTACTTACTTTTCACCTTTTTGAAATTTGGTTGTTGATTAAAGAAGAATCTCCGAATATTCGAAGTTTCTATACTCCCAATGCCAAAGTTGTTTTGAGGCCAAGCACAAATGCTTCATATTCCGCAACATTTTTGGTAACGTCAAAATCTAACTTTATGAAGATGGGACATGTTCCTCTTTAAGTGATACTAATAATACTCGTACACCACAACCCTTTTGGTTTGATGCTCCATCGAAGTATAACGTCTAAGTATCATCTTCTGTAGGCATTAAGTCTTTTTCTAGAAACTCATTTCATGTATAGGCGTCGAATCTTCTATTGTTAATCCAAGACCACTGATCCTTTGATAGCCTTTTGAGGCATGAATCATAATCAAATTGGGCTAAGTTGACTATCCATCTTGATATTCGCCCATTAAGTTTAGATTTCTCGAAGAGATACTTTAGTGGATCAATCCGAGATACTACATACACTGTATGAATGAGTATGCAGTGTCTTAACTTGGTTGTGGCCTACACCAATGCGAGGCACAATTTCTCAAGTGGTGTGTAGCGTACTTTATACGCGAGCATCTTTTTGTTTAAGTAGTAGATGGAGTTTTGTTTTCCTTCTACTTCCTGTGCGAGCATACCCCTCATTGTCTCTTTGGTGACTGTTTAATATAACCTAAGAGTGATTCTCGGGAGCGCAGGTGCTAATGTAGGAGGATTAGCGAGATAGACTTCGATTTTCTCAAAATCTTTTTGACACTCATTGTCGCATATTAATGGCACGTTCTTCTTTAGTTTCTTGAATATTAGCTCACATATCGTGGTTAATTTGGATATGAACCTACTTATATATTACAACCGGCGAATGAATCCTCGAATTTGTTTCTCGGGTCTTGGGAGGCGGCATAAACATGATTGCTTTAATCTTGGTTAGGTCTATCTCTATTCCTCTAGTGCTAACAAGAGTTTTCTCGAGGTAACTCCAGAGGATCAATTTGATGGATTCAACCTCATGTTGTATTTCCTCAGCCTTTCAAAGAATTTTCTTAAGGCTACTAGATTTCCTTGACGATCTTTTGATTTTATAATCATATCATCCACGTAGACTTCTTTTTCTTTGTGCATCATGTCATGTGGTGAGGCAGTATCTGCTCTTTGGTAAGTGTCACCTGCGTTTTTCAACCCGAATGGTATTAGCGTGTAACAATAAGTGCCCCATGGCATTAGGAACGTAGTTTTTTCCATATCTTGCTTGGCCATGAGAATCTTGTTGTACCCTGCGTATCCATCAATAAACGAGAGAAGCGCATGATTTGCTGTGTTATCTACCGAAATGTCGATGTGTGGTAAAGGGAAGTCGTCCTTTGGGCTTACCATATTTAGATCTCTATAGTCGACACACAGTCTTACCCTTCCATCTTTCTTTGGAACTGATACCATATTTGCAACCCATTCGGAATATTTAGATACCCTGATAAAACCTGCAGTAATTTCTTTTTAAACATCTTATAATATTTTAAGAGCTACGTCGGTTTTCATTCGATGTAACTTTTGTTTTACAGGTTTCATTCCTGGAATTAGTGGTATTGTGTGTTAAGATATTTCTCTATTTATTCCTTGCATATCTTCATATGACCAAGTAAATACATCGATAAATTCTTTTATTAGATTAATTAAACCGGTTCTTTCTTCTTTAGTAAGAGTTAGTCCGATTTTAACTTCTCTTTTAACGTTTGGGTATTTTGAGATAACCACGGTTTCAATATCTTCTATTAGTGGTGTTTTATACTCAATTGTTTTCATTGCATTAGTTATTTCTTTTTCACTTTCATTGTTAGTTAAGCAATGCTCGTCATCTAGGGTTAAGGAATGACACGAGGAGTAAGCGAAAGAAGACATATTATTAAATTCGAAAATAATTACATCAAATAGGGTATGTATGTTAAGACTTGACTACAAACTATCCAAGGAGTAGGTGTTAAAGTAAAAGAACAAGGGAGAGGTAATATAGCTAAGGATTTTGAAGACTTGATGGGGGAAGACTCACATTCAGACTCTGACTCAGACGACTTTTCGAACATAGGTCCTTATCTTGTTGTTATGGAGATCTTCTATCTGCTTGGTGTAGTCACCTTCACAGTCTTTCGCCATCCATGAACTAATCTCTCTACTGGAGTGATAAGCTTTAAGGGGTTAAAGCTCTCACTTTGTAGTGCTGTCTGAATGAGCGCGGAGTTGTCTTCAACATATTTTGGCTCACTCTTCTTATGCGCAAAAAGAAGTCCCATGAGATTAAAGTCAAAGCACAGAGGTGATTTCTCCTTATAGATAGGAGTTCGGATATCATCTATGAAGTGGAAATCCAGGAAGATTTCGAACCCATGTTGTCTTATTCCATCTTTGACAAAAGGCTCAGGAAATTCGTAGCAGGGATAATCTTCACCCTCTCTTATAAATTGTCCATTTAGGGTGAGGGGAATTGATCCATTGGGATTGCTTTCTTTTGGGTACAAGAGTTTCTCCATGCATTAGCCTTTTCCCGTGCTTGCTATAGTCTTTCGGAGCCGGTTCAAAACCAAGTCCAAAAGTATATAATTTAGGAAGGCCAGGCGATTTCGTTTGCATTGCTACTCCTTTCTTCTTTCATAGAGTCATTCTAGGAAAGTGTCCATGTTTTCGAATTATACCATTAACTACATATTTGAATGGAGGTCGTAGCAAATAGGTGTCCTTTTATCTTCCTCGATTAAGGAGACATATTCTGCGTCAAAGCCGCATAGATCTTCATCGTTGTCATCATGCTCCACGTTTATGAGAGGCTTATCGATTCCCTTGATTCTTATTTGGGAAGCATTGATTGTAACAGGAATTCCTCCAACTATGGCCTTTTCTTGTTGATGAAGGGATGAAGGGACGGCCTTAAGGTCATGAAGCCAAGGGTGTCCCAACAATAAGTTGAAAGAAGCTTTAATATCTACCATTGGTAAAGTAGTAGCATGTTCTATAACTCCTGCTGTGACATTCATAGTAATAGTCCCAAGAGCTTGGCGATGAGTGTTGTAAAAAGATCTTATTCTTTGTGTGGAGGGAGACATGTGTTCATCCCTTATTCCCAACATCCTCACGGTTCGTAGTGGGAAAAACATTAATTGCTGACCCGTTATTTACAAGAGTCATTGGGAAATTCATTCTCTTGTAGAATACTGTGAGGTTTAAGGCCTTATTTTGTTTGTCGCCTTCTTGAGGTAAGTCCTTGTCAGAAAAGGTGATTAGATTGATTAGACTTGGAAGATCACTCGTGAGGAAATTAGCTAATCCCTTAAGAGTGGTTTCTTATTCTATCCCTACCTTAGCTAAAGCATCCATTACTACAACTCTATGTTCACGGGATATGGCTACCTTAGTCTTTTTAAGTTTTGTGACAACATCGTTGTCTTCTATGATTGGTATGGGAACTTGTTGGGTAGTAGGAATAGGTTGTACAGTGATGGGAGGTTGCACTCTCCCTAATCTTATGAGAACATCTATGGGTGAATCTTCTTCATCCTTAATGTCATCTACTTGGTATATTGTGGAAAGTGGGGTTTCTTCCACATCTTTAAGGTAGACATCCTCATCATCACTTTCTTAGACTTTGTTGATGGTAACATCCCTTTCTAGTGGGATTTGGACTAACTTTTTACTATCAATTAACCCCTAGATTAGATCATTAAATTTGAAACAGTGTTCTATGGTATATCCTCCTGCTTGATGATATGAATAATAGAACTTTTCTGTCCTTTTCAAAGATTCAAATGGTATTGGCTTGAGAAGTTTGATCTTCCCACTCTCTAAGAGCATTTTTAACATGTTTGCGTAAGAAGTCCAATCGGAGTGTAAGGCTTGTCACTCCTTTTGGGTGCTTCGATTACTTGGAGAAAAAATGGCTTTCTCCTGGTAATCTCTGTAGGTGTCATCTCTTTAATGTCACGTTTATTTTGAGCCATAATTATGTGATCGAGGGCCTCACGACATATGTCTTTTCCTTCCCTCACCAATTGTGTGAGGACCTATACTTCCTTTTTCGTGGCATGTTGTCGACCTGTGGGAGGATCACTCATGGCATCGAAGAAGGTTTCCTGTTCTTCCTCAATAGCATGGGATCCTTTGACTGGTTTAATGAGGGATGATGGGTCAATATTATTTTCTTCATCAGAAATAGCCAAAGAATCTGAAAGTAGGGTGCTAATGATTCTTGGCTTCTTGCTTGTAGGAGGCAATGGGAGTTTGTTGTTATCAATCAGATCTTGAATAGTTTCCTCCAGCTTCTAGCAATTTTCAGTAAGATGGCCCCTACCTTGATGGTATTTACAATTTGCATTGGGGTTCCAACTAGCCTTCCTCCTTTTAAACGGTGGATCTCCAAATGGTCCAATGGGAGTTATAAGATCTTTTGCATTAAGGCAATCAAATGCGGTGTCATAACTCATACCAATAGGAGTAAAGTTCTTTCTAAATGGCTTCTTTTGTCCTGAATTTTTTATAGCAAGGACTTCATTCACATTAAAGGTACTAACGTTGTTTGAGTGGATGGTTTTGGAAGAAGAAGGATTGTCGTTCTTCTTTCCTTTCCAGCCACTGTTGGAGTTGTTAGCATCTTTTTACTTTGTAAGGTCGTCCTCGATGTTGATTCTTATGTCATAAACGACCTTAAAAGTATTCAGATTAATTTGATAGTTGAGATGCTTAGAATATATTTCTTAGAGGTTCTTAATGCACATTCTTGCAGATTGTTGGGGTTTGGTAAGTTCAACTTACCGCGGAAACGACCCCGACCAAAAGAACCACTCGCAATTAAGAAAACCATAAAGCATAACAAATAAACATAAAAGGATAGAATCGGAATTTAACTTTGACGCGTGCTTCGCCCGACCTAATGGGATCTTACTTGAAATCTTTAGCTTCGAAAATACCAAGCCTCCAACGGTATCCACCCACAATGGACGAACACCGACTTTTAGGTCCGCTACATTGGAGTTAGCAAGGTCCGACCAAAACACGAGTGATTAAATGAGTTCAAAGGTTTTCACAATGGTGATGCCTTTTTCAACTCTCACTCAAGTGATTTTCTCAATACCTCACCCTGGGTATTTATAGGGAAAACAAGATAGTGAAAAGGCTCTCCCATTAATGTGGGAAAATTTGATTTTTCCATTTTATTTTAAAGCTAAAATAAAATTAATAATCAAACTAGTAATAAATCAACAAGTGGCAAGGTCATGAGAGAGGTTAGGTGAGGACCATTGGGAGGAGGGGGACCAAACTTGCTCCCCACTCCCTCTCCAAAAACCACCCAACTCATCCCTCAAGCCTCCTCTTACAATGCGCCACATGGCACTACACCTGGGCACTAAGGCACCCAAGGTGGGCTGCCATGTGCGGCTTCCAGCAGGCCTAACACAAGCGTGCGGGCTGCTAGGCGCTACTGGCCAGCAAGCCCAGCACGGCTTGTGCGGGCTGCTCGTGCTCTCAGCCAGCAAGCCGCGCATCAAAGATGCGGGCTGCTACTGAGAGTTGATGCTCCTTGCGCACGTTGGCCAGCGTTGCTAGCATGCGATGCTAGCATTGGTGCGCTAGCACGCACCAACAAGCCTGGGCTCGGCTTGGTGTGCATGCTAGCCACCATGCTATACCAAATTCCCCTAGCACTCGGTTTGCTCGGGGCATTCCGATGCTAGGGGTATTATGGTCTTGTTGATTTATTATTTTCATGTCTCGTCTTTTATTATTTTGATTGACTTTCGACGCTCGGTTTCGACAATATAAGCTCGAATTTTTGACGTCTAAATATTAAATACTCGGGCGACGAATTAATTTCTTCCGAATTAATTCGTCGATTCAGTTCGTATATTTGCTAGGGTGTGACCCGAAGGGTTCAGTCAAGATTAAGCTGAATATTAATTATACATTAATATTGTTGATAGGAAGCGGTCTCTACCCAGGCATTCCGATCACATGACCTTACTGAATATATATTCGCTTTCTAATAATTCTGAACCCGCTATCAGAATAATATACTTGTTCGAAGGACACCATTCCTTTTAATCTCCCAATTGTCCTTCTAGACAAGTGTGCATTTTGTGTACAACCTTTTTCCTATGTCTCTTCATGAACTATAAGGTAAGATTATTTCGTCATCCTTATTACGTTTAAAAGTGTTTCTCGATTCCAAGTCCGACTGTCAATAAACAAATGATTTCTAAAATCCATCCCAGCACGGCCATGCATTTTTACAGTCTCGCTCTACGAGAGGACTTGTATACAACAAAGACATCTTCCCTATTTTAGTAGGGGGACATTCCCAGTCTTGTAATGTAGCTCCTCATACTGAGAGGACTTAGCCGCCCGAGTGTTGTCGTTATAATCCCCTATTACGGCAGACGTTTGACAACATCAAAATG